CCCTAAAAAATGTAGAATCAAAATCTTGGGTTTTTTTAGCTCATTGTGGAGAGAAAGTGAGAGATATGTGTTGTAATGTGTTGTTTAGTTCATGAGAATAGAGAAAGAAGAAGGGTAAATGGAATTTGGAGGCATTAAGAGCTTCAAAATTGGTTGTTCATGGTTGTTGGAGTATTGATGACAATGACAATCTTGTAATAACTTGAAGATGATGAGGGTGAGAGAGTAAATATGTTATTTTCGAAAAAAAAAAAAAATTGATGGCATTTTCGTGAATTATATGAACTTGTGGGGTGAATTGGGCAAAATAAAGTTCCAAAAAAAAAGAGGTTAGTTTTGTGGTTGACTTCAAGTTTCAGGTCAATTCTGCAAAAAGCCCTAATTACTATTCAGGATTCGGACTAAATCTAGATAGTAAAATATCTAATCTGTCAAAAGCAGATCTAGATATTTTAATTATAAGTTTAGGTATTCAGATTCAGATCCCAACTTTTTAAATATATTAAATTTTATTAATAATTATATTTTATATATTAATATTTATACATAACATTAGTCTTATAAATTTATAATATTATTTATAGATAGTTTTATAAATATTTAATTTATGTATTATTTTTAGAATTTTAGTATTTTAAAAATATATTTTATTATTTTAAATTATATTTTCAGATATGAATACCCACGAGTATTACAATATCTAGACGTATATCTGAATCCTACATATCTAAAAACCAAAAATGCGAATACGAATATAGAAAAACGGATCCGTATATCTTAATTTTTTCGAAAATTCGGATTGTATCACCCTTAGTGACTATAGAAGTTGTGTGTTCGTAAAGTGTTTTTATATTTTATTAAAAATAAAATTTTACCTTAAAAAGGAAAAAAATTCAAATATATTATTTTATGTTTTATTATAATAAATTTATTTATTAAATTTATATATTGAACACATTTATGTGCTTTACTTCTTACTATAAAATATAACTGTTACCAAAGTTAAAAGATTTACTATATAAAAATTATATGTATCACATAAACATATAATTTTTAAGCATCAATAATCTGCTTTTGTCACACTATTAATCAATTTTTATTTTTCACAAACAAAACTGATTTAATATTCAGCACTTCGTATTAATTATATAATAAAAAGGCTACTATTTATAATATATAAACTATTATTATATTACAGATTATTAAAAGATTGATTATGTCTTTTAGTAGTATAAACAAACAAAAAATATTAAAAGTGGAAAGGGAAAAAAATCAATTCACTTTATAAAAGAAATAGAAATAAAGTCTTATAAATATTGAAAAACATAACAATCTCTAATTTAGACGTGGAAATAGAGATGTGTTGAATCAAATTTTATTCTAAAGTACAAACGAAAAAATACAAAGTGTGTTTGTAGAATGGAGATGCTTGAGTTTGTAGAACCTTATTCCTTTATCACTGTGTATTTCCAAGGGCTCACACAACAGTTTGTTCGTTGCGTTTTGTACTTAAGCATCAGTTGCTGCCTTACACGAGCCAAAACATATAAGAGAAAAATACTGTGGAGGGAGTACAAGTCTGTATGTTTGGTGAAGTTATGTCGATCGTTGTGGACGTCAATACGAGCACTCAAGATGAAAATATCTACGAGAAACTAAAGAAGGCGGCTCAAGATGGGGATATAGAAAGACTCTACGAATTGATAGCAGAAGATCCTAACATTCTATGTCACTTTGATAAGATGTCGTTTTGTGAGACGCCACTTCACATTGCAGCTGAAAAAGGGCAAACTCATTTTGCCATGGAGTTAATGACACTTAAGCCGTCGCTTGCTTCAAAGTTAGACCTGTCAGGTTTCAGTCCACTACATTTAGCCCTGCAAAACAACCACATCCGTATGGTGAGAGCGTTTGTGGCAATCGAAAGCAGCTTAGTCAGCATCAAGGGAAGAGGAAGAATTACTCCTTTGCATCATGTGGCTCGGACAGGGGATGCAGAGTTGTTGAGTGAGTTCTTGTTAGCCTGTCCTTCTTCCATAGAAGATTTGACGATTGGGTGTGAGACAGCTGTGCACATTGCTGTGAAGAACAACCAGTTGATGGCGTTTAAGGTTCTATTGGGATGGGTCAAGAGAGTAAACAAAGAGGAAATTCTGGACTGGAAAGATGAAGATGGTAACACAGTCTTCCATATTTCTGCATTGATAAATCAGACTGAGGTAAAATGCTCTTATCTTGTTTAGTTTCTCCTTTTCCCCCACATTTTTGTTGCGACTTGGGAACGGAATTTTTTCATTTTTAGGAAATTATTAACAATTTCTTTTTGCTTTCTTCACTTTTGTTGTTGCCAAAGTTTTTATCAATATTTATGTGGCGATGGGTTTGCGTTTATATATATATATATGTCTCGTAGTCTTATCAAATGTTATATTGAGGTGTGCTCGAATTTTGCAGGTAATGAAGTTGCTGCGTAGAACTGTTAAAGTAAAAGCCAAGAACTTGGATGGGAAAACCGCAATGGACATACTCCAAACTCACCAATCTCCTTATTTCCCTGAAGCAAGAAGACTTCTCCACAGTGTTAAAGAAAGATTACTTTGTTCTTCCACAACGACTCTGGCAGGATACTTGAGCAAAAATCTATCGTTTGTTGAAAAACGAAACAAACTCTTGGGGCTGAGCATCTTGAGCTTGACTAGTGATAGATCTGTAAACAATAGCGATCGACGGGATGCAATACTGGTGGTGGCTATATTGATAGTAACAGAAACATACCAGGCCGGTCTCAGTCCTCCTGGGGGATTTTGGCAAGATAATTCCTTCAAGAACGGCGAATATCACTTTGCTGGGGAGATGACTATGTGGTCAGTAGATGCCGTTTTTTTTATTGGTCTTAACATGTTTGCCTTCGTATCATCTCTATATGTGATCATTGTCCTCATAATTGGACTCCCCATGTGGAAGCTAATCTATGCTTCAACGGCTGCTTTAAGTATCGCTATGTTAGCATCATACTTCACTATACTACCAACGTATGGTGGCAAATTCCAACTCATATCAAAGGAGGTCTTCGCCTACGCATTCCCATTGATCATTGGAACCATGCTGTTTGCTACTTTCACGGCTTACATTGTTGATAAACGTCGCATGTACAAAGTGGACTTCCCGGCTAGCTGCTTCAGCATATCTGATCCAGCGCATCCTGGTTATCTTTTACTATTTAGTGGGATTTGTGTTACTCTTGTTACTCTTTATTTACGTTTTTAATAACATTTGATAGACGAAAAATGAACAAAATAAGGGAAAAGGTTTTATTGAGCAATTGAAAAAGTAAACATAAATATCGGGTCAGTTTGTTTCTCATCAAACTTGGAGAGAACTTTTTTCCATAAAATTATTCTATACATGAAAAAGAGAGGAATAGGGTGAATGAGTCCTTCATCCATGTATCAACAAATTGACAAATTTTTTTAACTTACTAATTAGATTTTAATCCTCGCAACCGCATGGATGTTTGATTTTATTTATATAAATATAAATATTTGTTTACATCATTAGTGGTATATATTTTTAACATTCATCATATATTTAAATGTTTATTTAAGTATTCAAATACAATAATTTCATAATTTAAATGTCGTAGTTAATCAATTATTTCTGACCGCCACATGTATTTGTCGTTTCTTATTATATTTATATTTTTTAATTTGTATTTATTATTAAAAGATTTAATATATGCAGTAAATAACATATTTAAATATTAATTTTTATTTTATTATGTTACCTTCTTACCTCACTTCAAAACTCGATATTAAATTTTAGTATATTTTATGCTTATTAATTTTAGATAAGAAATTGTTGTATATATTAAAATTTGTATACATGTATTATAGTGTAGTATGTTAACCCATATTTGCCAGCATATTATATTATTTTAACATATATATTTATATTTATGAAAATATATTAATATATCAAATTAATATAATTTTATCATACTTATTTCAAATAATAATAATTTTAATATGATATATTATGATCATAAAATAAATAAAATTTTCTACGCTTGTTTTTCATTTTATAAATGATAACTGAGTATAAATTAATGTATAATAATATTTTAATATTAATTAAAAATTAATGAAACTATTTACATACAATTTTTGAAATTGCAATTTTGTTAAAACATATTTCAAAAAAAAATTGTTTGAATTTTAAAATGAAAAGATATAAAAAATATTGTGATAAAAGAAATTATACAGATATTATATATTTAGTTTTAAGAAAAGGTTGAACTAAAATTTCTAATGAAAGGTTCCACTAAAATATCACACATAAAAGATGAATCATGAATTATATTTTAATAGAATACTAGATTTTGATCCGCGCTTTCAAAGCGCGGGTTTATGTTTGATGCAAACTTTATATAATCGCATTTCCTTTATATGTAAAATATGGGATAGATTTGTTTAGTTCATTAATATCATCAAACATAGTATTTTGAAAAATACAGGATAATCTTTCCGTGAAAATTTTATATGACCGTATTTTTGTTTTATATAAAGTAGACATGGGCATAAAATTCATAATTCGACGTTTATACTCAATCTAAACAAAAATATTTGGATCCGTAACCGATCAAAAATCTAAAATATATCAGAATGAGTTTTGTAGGGTGGTTCAAAATATATCTGAATCAAAGTGTTAGTAGTCATACCCGAACGAATAACCCAAAAACCAAAAATATGGAAAAAACATGAATCGATCTGAATGTCCAAATTAAGCCCTATATTTATTTAAAAATAATATTTAAAATTAATTATCTAAATTTTAAATAAGTACTCTAATATCAATTCCATAATAATAAGTATCTTTTTTTTTAATTTTAGATTTCCAAAACCATTATAACCCGAATCCGAACGATATATGGTTACTTTATGAGTTTTAAGATGTGTACAAATTAGAACCAAACCCGACGTGTTATATTTGAATCTGATCCATACTTACAAACATGCCTACTAAAAAATTATTACACCTATGATGTGATATAAATTAGTTTGGATTCAAAATATTTGATCCGTATCCCAATAGGTAATTGAACTCTCAAGCATAACATAAATTATGTTTTATATTTTGTTAAATTCATTTTATATTTGATAAATATTTTGTCTATTTATTGGAATAACCCGTAAATTTATAATCATAAAAATATCAGTAATAACATGTTTTGTAATATAATTAAATATTAATAGTAGCTATTATTAATATTTATTTTATAAAAACAAATTAATATATATAAACAATTTTAAGTCTTTATCTATGATATTATATTATTATTTATTGGCAGAGGTTTGCAAAAAAATTTTATTATTATTTCGTGTATCAGTTACATATAATTAAATATTAATATTTATATCCTAATGTTTTAATTTAGTTATGGATATTAAAATATAAAATTATTTATTTTTTAAAATATCTTATGGTAGTATTTTGTTATTCTGTAAATTTAATTCATTTAGTTTATAATTTATAAATATGAAATATTTATAAATAAATTTTATTGAAGGTCATTTCTTATTCTATAAATCAAAATGAGTAAGTACTCATTTGTAATTTAATTTAATACTATTTTACTTTTTTTTATTACCATAATATTAAAATAAATATTTATTTTAAAATAAAAGTATATTAAAGATATTGTTAAAATGTAATCTGAAAAATAGTTAAAAGTATCTTTTTGATATCTTTTTTTATTTTTGATATCTTATTTTGAATATTAAATATTATATTAATATTATGTGTTTATTTAATAATAAATAAGTTTTCTGTATGTAACATAACATAAAATTAAGTAAATGTAATGTTTTAAACCACCCAAATGTGGAGCCTAACTAAATTAAATTCTTGATCACTCATTTGAAAAATGGCATGAATCAATTTAGTTGGCATGTGGAAAATGAGTGGTCTAAGATTAGAATAACTAACATCTTTATATGTAAGGTAGTTGATTGGAGCATGTGTTGCAAGAAACAAAAGTTAAAAGTCTAGGGAGGGAGCTGAAACGGGGATGACTAGTGAAGTTATGTCAATTTTTGTGGATGTCAATAGAGTATCAGATATGGTAGCTCAATATGTAAATCTGAATGGGAGGTTGGGTACGAGCACTCAAGATGAAAATATCTCTGAGAAACTGAAGAAGGCTGCTCAAGATGAAGATATAGAAATACTGTACGAGTTGATAGCAGACGATCAAAACATTCTATGTCAATTTGATGAAGTGTCGTTTTGTGAGACGCCACTGCACATTGCAGCTGAAAAGGGCAAATTCATTTTGCTACGGAGTTAATGATTCTTAAGTCGTCGCTTGCATTTAAGTTAAATGTGTCAGTTTCAGCCCAATGCATTTAGCTCTGCAAAACAATCACACTCGAAGGGTGAGAGCGTTTGTGGCAATCGAAAGCATCTTAGTCAGCATCAAGGGAAGAGGAAGAGTTACTCCTTTGCATCATGTGGCTCGGACAGGGGATGCAGAGTTGTTGAGTGAGTTCTTGTTAGCTTGTCCTTCTTCCATTAACTATTTGATGATTGGGTGTGAGACAGCTGTACATATTGCAGTGAAGAGACAACAATTGACGGCGTTTAAGGTTCTATTGCAATGGGTCAAGAGAGTAAATAGGAAGGAAATCATGGACTGGAAAGATGAAAATGGTAACACAGTGTTCCATATTGCTGCATTAGTAAATCAGACTGAGGTAAAATGTCTCTCTGATCTTATTTAGTTTCTCCCTTCTCCTAAATTCTTGTGGATGTTACTCATGGAAGTGGATAGATACGGTTGTTTGGACGCAAGAATCCAGAATGAAAATTATGAAACAAAAAGTGATGATAATGATTATATAAAGTGATAAAACATTTGAAAAATGATATGAAAAATAGATAAATATGTAGAGTCGTGATATGATCATTTTATTTAACTCACTAAATTTCCCGTAGATGAAACAGTTTTTTATATGATTTCTGAGTCCTATGATAAAACCACGATTGACTGTTTTACATCATCCAAAATAAAATATGTGCCCTTAACATCCACGTTATACTCTCGAGACTCTATAAAGAAAACTAAAGAAATATGTTATAGATTGTATGAAAGCTTATGGAAGCTTCTTTCAAACATCTTTATGTTGTGAATGTATTTTTGTTATCTTTATTAATAGAGAGGTAAGATGTATTTATAGAAGAGATTTACAAAGCTTAGTCATAAACTAAGTTGAACATTTTGTCACTTAGTTTACTAAGCTTTAGTCATTTGTTATTAAATCATTTTAGTTAGTTACCAAGTGTATTTTAGTTTTGGCTTATTTGTTACAAAGTCACTTTGGTTAGTCACCAAGTGTACTTTAGTTTTAGTCATCTATTTTATTAAAACAGAAACATTAGATTGGACATAACATTTATTTTGTTAGTTTTTAGATTGAATACATCTTTCTACTTTATAGTTAAACATACATTAAATCACTAATATTTTTTTCTTTATACTATTATCCATGTTTCCAAACAATATATTTATTTCTGTATACTACTATTTATGTTTCCAAACAATATACTCATTTCTTTATACTACTATCCATGTTTCTAAACAACACTATCATTAATCTTATGTCCAAACAATACAAAATATTAGATCTCGCCCTTTTTTAATATTTTCACAATTTTCTTTCAAATTATTTAGATAGATTAAAAAAAATTCATATAATAAACCATGAAAATAAACTTATGTTTGCAGGTTTAAATATTAAACACCAGTTAATTGGTTAGTCTTGGGTTTTAGTAATTTTTTTAATATGGATATTTTTCAAAATAAAAATTGAATTATCGGATCACTGGTTTAACCGCGGTCTGGGTTGAATTTAAAAATACTGGTTTAAATCAAAAAAAATAATTTAAATACATAAACTCTTTCAAATTACCAAATATATGTTAAGTTATTTATGAAATTTTTCATCTTAAAATATAAGTGCTTGTAAAGTTAAGAGCAAAGTTAAGTTTGAAGTTGACATAACCTATAAAATAAAGGTTAAGGCCAAAAATTCTAGAAATTTGTATATTCTTGTAGAAACTTTGGAAAATTATTAACATCAGAAGTAATTAAATTCTCAACTTCTTTTTTTAATGCAAACAGTTAACTTTGAATTTGATTTTGCACTTCGAGTAAACATACTCAATTAGTGTTTTCACTTCACAATTACATATACTTAATACACTACTTG